GGGGATCGGTCAATGGGCGACGGAACGTTGTATCGAACGCGAAACCGAATAAACTACAAGTCACTGCATATACATCGCGTGTATTTTCACGTTCGCCCCGATATTAAATATAAGGGGAGATATTTCAATATTGGCGAGCAAACACACGCAAATAGTTTCGACGTTTTCTCCCCCTCCCACGATGTTGCTCTTCCTCGTTGCGCGCTTCCTCGCCGCGCGCCGCCCCCCGATATCTTCCTGCATATTTATGTCGGCGAGAGACGTGCATCTTCACAAGCCTGTGTAACCGGGCTTCCGCTTCGCGAGAACGCTCTCTTCCGCGCGCCTGCCGATAGCAGATACGTGACGTTGTCTCCTCCAAAAATGCTCTCTCGTGTTTTTTTTTTTGGCTGGCTGGATTCATTTTCTTCACTGTTAGACTCATTTTCTATTGCTCGATTCTATTTACGAAACTGTTCGATATAATTTAGATTTAATTTTCTGAACTACGCGATAATTAAACGTCTCTTAGTCAGAAAGAGACAAATCGGCGAAGTTTCGGTAGAATTCAGTAGAATTCCCTATAACGTGGCAGACGGGCTAGTCAAACGTGCATCCTTCTGTGAAAAAAGACACACTGCGCTTTCGATATTTTATCGAACGATTCTTATCTAAATAATATCGATCCTCGCTGAGATTTTCAGATTTGCGAGAAATTTTCCTTTTTTTTTTTTTTTACATTTATGGGAAATTCGAAATCGCAGAAACACGTGACATGCAAACACGCGTATAATATATCGAAAATACGACCATTATCAACAGTAATATTCCACGTGAACGAACGTGAGTTTACATGAATACCCGCAATCTACTAATGACTCTTTTCATTAAAAAAAAAAAAGATCAAACAGCCGCGTTAAAGGGTTGCGTCGCGGATTGACCATCCGAGTAAGAAAAGGACCGGGTTCTTAAACACGTTCGACGGCTCAAACGGGGCATGCAGAAATCTCGTAAAACGGCTCGGCGGATATTCGCGAGAAGACGAGGAGCGTTTAGGTAGATTTTCATCTCTATTCGATTTCAACCTTCCTTGCACGGTGAAAGCCCTCGCGCGCGCGCGACGACGACGACGACGACGTTATCGCGACGCAAACCCAGATAGATCGTGTACACTGCTTGAACTAGTCGTCGAGTTTTATCGCGGGCCGAGAAAATGCTCGCGTTGACGCGCAGTTCGAATAGTTCGAACCAGTTCGCCGACGTATCGACGATCTTTTTGGGGTGTTGTCGCGCCTAAAATTGACCACCTTGACGCTAAAACTATCAAAATGACCAATTTCTGTTAGACACTTCGTAGACTTAAAAACAGTGTGGTTTTTAAAGATTTCAATAATTTTTCGTAAAATACGTATACTCCATTTTTTTTTTTTTTTTTTCTTTTTACTTTAATTTCTTTGATGGAAATTTTATGGCCTAATCGTCAGTTCTAGTGTTCAAAGAAAAAAAATAACTGTTGAGAAGCTGTGCCGATTCACGCAGAGAACAAAGAGCCTGGTCTCTACTCACGCGAAATGAGCGATGGAAGTTTGATCAAACTGTATCATTGAATGTAGTTAGTTAAAAATTGACTGGACTTGAGTGCACACACTAAAAAGCATCATCGAATTTTTTTGCATGCTACTGGTGTAAAATTTAAACGCGCGCCAATAAAAGTATTCATTATAAATATCACTTTTCACGAGCCAACGAGCTCGAGCGTTAAGTGACACTCTTAAACGCTATAACGACAGCTATCGCGTGGTTTTTAACAAATAATATAAATAATTACAAGTGTAAATATATGTTCCTCTATAAACGTAGCGGAAACGAGCTGACTTTCATCTCGGTTGTAACAGCGTCAACCGTGATTAGCGTCATCGGATTTTCTATTTTCGTATTACACGAACGTTCGTAATTGTCAGAAAATGGTCGTTAAAGAATCATTAACACCTTTAATTTATCATAAAAGCCCGGATAAATGTATCTATGTCTCATCAGCTGTACATAATAAATTACGTATTTTCAATTCATTTATATCCATCGAGCTTCCTGATATAATTCAATCCACGTTGCATCATTAACGTGTCTCTATCTTTACATATTTATCGCCATTTGACTGGCGAATTAGATTCAGATTCTATTTGAAACTTAGTTCTATCATTCAGCCTGATTTAATTTCTCATTCGATTCGCCCCGAATTTCTCGAACCCCGGAAGACTCTTGCGACATCTTGCAACTTTTAATTCATCGTCCTTCCGGATGTGTTCCGAATGAACACTGAAAGCTAACTTCTTTTCACTCAGAAACATTATTGCATCGACGCAACACCTCATTTACAACATTCATCGCGATATTCGTTCGGCAATAAAAAAAAATGTGGTAGTAAAAAACTTAGAATTTGTAACCTGTTCAGTTCGAAATTTTTTTCACTGAAACAAGGTCTTGAATGGAGAAAACAAAAAGGATATAGGAATTCGAGAGAAATTTGAAGCAGAAAGGAAACTGCGCGTGAGGAGCGAGGAAGTTGGTGGAAACGAAAACGGCTGGAGCGTTTCGCGATAGCCACACGTGCGGAAGAAGCAAAGGCACAAAAGATGAGCCACGGTTTCCGGCGTTCGGCTGTTGGCGGCAATTTCAGTTTTTCGCGGGTACGCTAACAACGTGCACGTGACTGGACGGGATAACAATATGACCACGCGTTCCTTCCTGGTCAACTTGCTGGAAATTGTAGATGAGGCTCGATTACGTATTCCGATCGTACGCGATATCAAACTGCCTGGCTTCTCGCTCGTGATGGAGTGTTTTCTGCCCTCGACCCCTCCTTTCTCTCTCTCTCTCTCTCTCCGACGTTCGTTTGCTCGTTCGTGTACCGAGCCTTCTCCAGTCACCGAAGTCACGTTTGCAACGAAACCTTACAAATCCATACGGCTGACGGGCTCGTAGGAAAATATTTAAACCCCGCGCACTCGACTACAATTCTATTTCGCTCGGAAGATACGCCCGGTAGATTCGTATCCTCCGCTCTGCCCGCTCGTGCAGGAAACAACGGAAAGGAACAACAGAGCTTGGATATACTGCTTTAGCCCCGGACTGAGTGTCCGCATTTTTAATTAATTTCAATTTGCATAAAAATCCAGTAAGCGCAAAGTGCTCCACTTTGAATATCGCGGGCGCGCATTCCGTGCGATTTTTCTTTTTTTTTTCTTTTGTTACATCTACCTTGTAGATCTATTATAATCGCGACATCTCCTATTGGTTAAGTGTACAATTGGTATGTATGTGATACATGTGTATGTGTATGTATTATTTATATAAGCAGCTCGAACGTACTTGTCCAGGTTCATCTTTGTAACAAGAGTCCGCTGAGTAAAATTGTTATTCCTAAGTAAATTCCAAAGTGATTATTACCTCATCAATTATTATAAAGCCACGCTGCGCTACGCGCTCCAACATTCTTTTTTTTTCTGTTTTTTTAATGATGAAACTTCAGCACGTGTATTATATGCGTGTTCAATTTGTGAAACTGAGACTGACGTATAGCGACGTTTCGCGCGCCTATGTCCAAAGTCTCGACTCTCGAGGAGCCCCAACCATTAATTATCATTGTCGTTCGATAAAACATCACCGTCGAAAGGATGGGAAAACAAGCTGATCGTGTTTACTTTGCGAGCACGCGGCGGCGGTGGTGTTAGCGTGACGAAAGAAGGGAGTGGAGAGCAGGCAGGGCGGCGGCACGCAGGGAAGAGAAAGCGGAGAGAATTCAAAGGGGGGGGGGGGGACCTGAATTATACCGAAGGAGTGACGTCTACGGAGATAATCACACGCCTCGTAACAGCTAGTTCATCATCGTGGTATCGTGCTAAGGGGCTTGATGCATCATGGAAGTCGCTCACGAACCAGCCGAACAGAAAGTGGAATAGACCGTCTTTGTAAAAGACGGGTCTTTGAAATGGATTCTCTCTCTCTCTCTCTCTCTCTCTCTCTCGCTCTCTCGCTCTCTTTCACCACGTTTCCTTGCAACAGTACCGGTTGGTTCGCTACCGACTCAATTAGAGCCGGAAAAACGAAACTAAAGAGCTGCGAAAGTCGACGTAACGCGAATCATTCTTTTCTTGCCAAGGATGGAATTCCCTGCAAATGTCACGAATGAGTTCTGCTTCGTCGAGTTAACGAACTATGTATCTGTCGCGCTAAAGATCGTAAAGGTTGCTCGAAGACTCCTCGAAGAACTAAAAGACGCGCTGGTCAAGATTGGTCAAGACAGCCTCGAAGAGTCTTAGTTGATTGTCATTTCAATCATTGCGGCAAATTTGGTACAATGGAGGATAGAAGAAGAAGAAAGACGAACAAAACGAAACGGACGAACGAACGAAAGAACAAAATCATTCGCGTATCCGCGAGTCCCCCCTTGCGTCATCCTTGAACTTCGTTCGAGCAGCAAAGTGGCAGTTTGTTTGAAAAACTTCGGCGCATCGATGTATCGACGATGGGTGAGAAGAAGGGGGATTGAAAAAGTTTCGGAGAGCGGGATAAGCGGATTAAAATCGATAGAAGTGAAAGAGGTACGCGGACGACGACGGCGGCCACGCGCGCCGACGATGAAAACGTCGATCGTGGAAAACACCGAAGCTCTCTTTGACGCTGCTCCCGGTCCCTTCCCCGTCCCTACCGGCTCCGTTCTTTTCCCGGTTTCGAGTAGAACGCCCCTTTGATCCGAGCCTTGGACCAAAAAAAAAAAAAAAAAAAAAAATTTTTAAATGTTTTTACATACTGTGACAATTTATAGTATTTTTGGAGCGGAAAAAA